TGGAGGAAGATGAGAGACAGGGGAAGCAAGAAAGAGGAGAGGTGGGTAAACAGAGACCAAAAGATAAAGATGAATGTTCACTGTAACCGTCTTTCTTTCCGTTTCTCTTTCTGCTCTTCGTCTCCGATCATCTGACTGAACTGTGTCTGAAATTCCATCAGCCAGATGACAAACTGACCACAGCTGAGAGCTGCAGAGACTCTACATCCCATTGTTACTGCAGTCATCAGGACCTCAAACTGATCAAACTGTGTCTCTGCACACCTGAGCATACAGCAGGTGCAAGCTACTCTACCTACTGTCTTTTTAGCTTAGAGCGTCTGGTGAGACCGACACCCTCAGCCGCTTCTACCCGCTCTTTACCCCTCTCATCACATCTTGTTTCAGCTTTAAGCCACTGATGTTGTGTTGTCAGTCATAATCTGCTCACATCAGCAGACTGTGTTGGCATGACCTCAGCTACACCCGCTAAAGAAAATGATATGGTACTGTATTCGTCAAGATAAGAGAACAGAAGGTTTGTGAATTCCCAGGGAGGAACCAGGAATCAAACCCAACATGCTGCACAGTCGGGTCAGAGGTCATCCATGAAATCAGACTGCGTTTAGGAATTTTACTAGGAATTTAAAGGTGTTTTAGTTTGCTGCAGGGTGCTGAAAGTAGACAGACGTGACAGGACAGTACAACAGTTTTACTAAAGTGTAGAAGAGCAAATCATCTAATACAGAAATACAGAATCCATCATTAACCTATTTTTCATCAAAACAGTCCTTGAAAAACAAAGAAAGAACAGCATAATTTCAGCAAGTGTTCTGAAATGAAACTCTGACCGACTTCTTTTTGTGTCCAAACTCAACCCTGACCATAAACCCTCAGATTTACTGACCCTCTCTTGTGTCCAAACTCAACCCTGACCATAAGTATGCAAAGTCAGAAATATACCTGTCCTGTGTTATTTTGGTGGAGTCATTGTTTTCATCAGTTTATATAATTCTGTGCAACAAGAATGTCATTTCTTATTCTCTCCTATATTACTAATCATTTCACAAACCCTCAGATTTACTGACCCTCTCCTGGAAACCACGGCTCTCTTCATAATCACATGAGGACTGGCAGCTGATTCATGCATTATTAACACTGAAGAATATGATACCACAAGCAAGTCACAACCTTACAAAACTGGCTTTAATAAGGAAACAGGCGTTGGCATCAATCTGAAAGACACCTGTGGCAATAATAGAAAGTTCTGCCATGAACACTACAACTCTTTAACAAAGTGTTGAATTAACCAACAGTAAACAGTTGGACCACAGTGCAAACATACACCATGGCCCTTTAAGACACACAGTAAGGAGGTTCTGCGTGAAGCCAACACGCCTCTATAAGCCTGCTGACTGATCATACTTACCCTTTCGTGACCCGATCTCTTCTTGTTCTTCTGTTTCTGTCCTTCCTTCTTTTCAGTTTTGGTCTCGCCACAGACGCCGTTCCTGGTGGATGGAGGGATGACGAACAGAAGAGAACGACACAGTAGTTACTTTCTTCAGAAGATGACAAGAAACCCGTTAGTCCCACAGTAGGAGCCAACAGAAGAAGAGTGGCACCTTCAGTTCTACCCTTTCCTCCTACCTCAGACCTTTTTTCCTAGATCTCCTTCTTCCTCCCTTTTCTCCCTCTCTCCTGGCAGATACAGTTCTTTCACTCTGTGTCTCTGTCCTCACTTCCAGTATTGAATTTGTAGAAAAGACTTTCCTCTCTCGTTGATGTCAAGGTACAGAGTGGTGTAGGGAGCGAATGACTCCCTCCCTCTTTGTGCCGGTATTAACAATGACACAGTGAGCTACTCCTTCGCTGACAGAGAGAGAGAGAGAGAGAGTCAGTGGGTGGTGATGAAGTGCAACACAGGGGAGGTCGTAATTAGACACAAGCACACATCTGTACCACTACTGTATCTTTGTGAGGACGCTTTGACATAATGCATTCCTAACCTAACCAACACAAAGCTCTAACCTACCTAAACCTATCTAACCCAACATAAACCAGATTCCACCCTGATCCCCGAAACCACTTGACGCCTCAGTGTGAAGGGGTGAGGACCGACTGAAACGTCTTTCTGTGGAATGAAGTTCACAATATATAGCTACACACAATCGGGGGCTTAAAAGCAAAGCTAAATCTGTCTATCTTAAACAATGCTTAGACCTTTTATAACTGATGTTTCTGGCCACTTTGATGCAACACAAACAAGTTATAAACACAATACTGACATCACCACCTGTTAAGCTGATACAAACATGTAGATCCAGTTGTGAGATGCGTCCCTCCTGCCGCCATAAGGCAGCGGGGTTCAGTTCAAAGAGCAGAAACCTAGATGATATGGTACAGTAACAATTTCTAACAATGTGTGTTATAAAATGTTACTGAAGCTTTAGGGGAAAAAAACTGGCTTAAATGTTTAGGTTTAGTATTTGATGTAATTCATCAGCCAAACAGGCGCAGTACAGTAGTGGGTTTCAGAAACTGGTTCATCATTAGAGCTAAGAAGCTTACTGATGTCAGGCGTTTTCACAGGGTTTCTGCAGTAATCACCAAGTTTGAACACTGAAATTGAATGACATTTATAATATTTATAGCCATAATATTGCCTACACCTGGTTGGACAAAATATGACCTTTGTAAAAAAGAAACACAAGACACTTTATTGCCTTTAAAGATCTTTATTTAGAACAGTGAGAGACCTGCTGGAGACAGGATACTATTAGCTTAGCTTAAAGCCTGGAAGCAGAGGAAAACAGCTACTGAAACGTTCTGCTTTATCAGTGAACATCACCACAAACTGGGTCAAATGAACTGAAATTCCTTCCCTAAACTACTGTGCAAACACTAAACACATTAATTCTGATTTTAACCCTGATTTAGTTACCCTACACCAACTTTAAAATAAAGCTAAACTTCCACCTGACCAGCCGTTTGACCTTCTGCTTGATTAAACGCCCCAGCAATCAATGACGTGGCTGGTTGTGGATTGATCAGTGATCTGATTTCCCACATTTGCTGTCAAACAATGCATTATGAACTGTGGCTGTGGTGAGCTCATCTTAATAGAACGGATCAGGGCTTTACATGTTTTGGCTACTGTAGTTTTGACTGATTCTGAGCTGCGTCTAACTTTCTGCCGTCCTCGACTTCCATCTGCAGCTTTAAATCCTTCCTTTTATCTTTTTGATTTCCTTTCAAAGCAGAACTGCATAAAGTAATGTGGACTCAATTCTGTCAACATTTTTGAGAAGGCTGCCTTGCTCTTCACTGCTTTAGAGCAAGGCAGTTGGACTAAAATGCTTATGGCCTATAGCATTAACAGTAATAAAACCTTGGAGAAAATGGTTAAATCATTAAGTGTGAATGTAAATGGACCAGTTCTCAACACCATGTAGTTTGTGTATATGTGTTGGAGAGGAACGGACGTCATTATCTTGAACTCAGTACATGAAGACATAAAATAAACAAGGACTTGTGCAAGTTTACTTGTTGACTTTGACCTTTAATACAACATATTGTAGTTAAAAAAGCTCATCCTACTTCCATTTTAATAAACTCATCAGCTGGATTCGTTTTCTCAGAACTGACACATTAGTTGTAAATGGCAGAGAGTTTTTATTGACTTCCAAACAAACCCCGAATACCACTTGGCACCAAATTATATCTGACTTTATACATAAATACAGCAGATTTATATTCTACTAAATCAAAAAATTTTAAAATTGAAAAGAGAAGACTAATAAAAAGATATATATTTCACTATGTGAAATTTATTATGCATTAACGTATCAAAATAAGCATTTGCACATGGATCTTCACTGTTTAGGATAAACAGGAAAGACTACCCTCAACGTGCCAGTATACAATATTTGTATGAAAAGATGTTACTGATT